GGTTTCTTTATCTTGTGAAGGATGTCCACCCCCGGCCATTTAGGGGTGCACCTGTGCTTGCATATGGTGAACCATTAAAGTTAAGCCGTATATCTATGTGAAGAGATGACCTTCGGATAACTAGGAAATGTGGTTAAACAGTTGTAAGCATATATTGTGTGGCAGGAAGTCATGTACACACACACAAACACATACTGGTTAAATGTAATGTGATGAAAAGCCTGCCTGGCACTTAGACTTTAGGCTACAGTCTCATTCCATTTGGATTCTGCTCTGAGTTCTACTGCAGTCATTGAAGGGGTAGAGTACTATAATATTCATTTCACCGAGGGAGGACACAACTCATTTTAAATTTACAAAACTGTCCATGGAATAAAATTATACATACAGCAAGATCCAGAGCAGAAATATATTGTAGAAAACATTAGATACATTTAGTTGATATTACTGATTTTATGACAGTGATTAGAGCATACTGTAGGTATTAAAAGTACTGTGCTACAGTAGTCCTCTTTACACACTAAGGTTAATTATGCAGTTCACAGCCCAGGACTGTTTACATTATACATGCTTCCCTTAGGCAGTATCATCAGAAGACATAGCATACATTTTCACTGCTATGCCGATGACACCCAGCTCTATCTGTCCATGAAGCCAGATAACACACACCAGTGAGTTAAACTGCAGGAATGTCTAGAGACATAAAGACCTGGATGGCCGCTAACTTTCTGCTTCTTAATTCAGATCAAACTGAGGTTATTGTACTGCTAAAAGTATGTTTTGGAGGACTGAATGGCTGAAAAACTGCAAAAATATAAGTACACACCTAAAGCTTGCAGGCCTACTACAGCCATGAGGCCACACTCCCCTGAATATCTAGATCAAGCTTTGTCCAGACAGTCACCAAACTCCGGTATGAGCATCAAGAAGATGAAGGAGGATATTCACTCTTCACTGACCAGAGAAATATCCAAAATAATTAAAGATGAACTGAGAAGTGTGCTGGCAGACGATTTTAATGTAGTCAAATCAAAGTTCCATGCTATGCGAGCTGCAATTACCATCGATATAGCCACAATCAGACGTGGACACAATAAAAGTAGACATGACAGATGTGAAAAACTGACTTTCTTCATGGTCAGACTAGGTAGTGATGCTGCAAGATGCCGTCAGTGCCCTCCAGAGTCAAATGTCAACACTATGAGCAACAGGCTGCGAGGACATGGATGGGAGAATGTGGCAGGGCAGCATACGGATAGATGGCATAACAAAGGAACCGGGATCAAACTTACTGGAATTGGCTTCAAGAACCGTTAAAAACATACTGCAACTTGAGAAAGAGATGAAGGTGGAGAGATCACATTGCACCCTAATGGTGAAGAAACCCAGAGAGTGGAAACCTCAAGTTATCACCTCAAAACTTCACTTTGAGGGAGATGCCATGAAGATCCTGAGGAGAACACAGGACAGACTACTGCTGAGCTACAAGGGGAGTCGAGTACCAATATTCCCCGACTGCACCTCAGTGTTGCCAAGGCCAGAGCTACTGTCACTGAGGTAAGTAGCATTAAGAGGCCGAAAGGGAATCCGCTACGGGTTACTGTACTGTTGAAACTTGTTCGATTTGGGTAAGAGAAGAAAGCAGACTGAGTCCAGGTAGGTGGCAAAAAATAGTGATCTTTATTTACACACTTGCGCAGAGTGTGGGAAGAAACTTGCAACAACAATCTTCTTCGAGCAGACCGCTCCCCATCCTTATATTACCCTGATGACGTCACACAGTTAGATCTTACTGGAAATGATAACAGTTCCCCACACTCACAAAGTTCTCCTTATATAGACATCAGATGCTACTTTAGAGACAAACAAGTGTGTGATATGTTGTGCAGTTTTGTGAGACTGTGTGTCCAACCGAGAGGCTGTCCTAAGACGACCTCCCTGTTCTTAATAAGTGTGTGTGTGAACGTGCGTGTTTTACATGACTCTCTATGTGCATGTTGGTGTAGACCTGAATATGTGTGTAAGTGAATGTAGAAGGCCCTGCTGGACCCACAGCTTCGAGAGGTGTGAATACAATGATGTGGATACCATTTGCAACAGCTTAAGCAGATAGAAAGAATGATACAGAACAACAATGGACTGATTAAAGTGATGATAATATGCATACATTAATATTTGCTCAGATAACCATAGATGTAATTCAGAGATTATTCTGTCAACAGATTCGACAATGATGAATGATTGATCAATGATAGTTCTGATTATAAACTGTCACCATAAGAATACAAAATAAAATATCTCTTGTCCACACTCCTCCTCTTTGGCCATCGGCCAACCTTTACCAAAATTTGTTTCACTCCTCCGTCCAGGCGGCCTCTCGCAACGGCATCATATACACCGGACCAGCTGAACCAGCTGAACCAGAGTCTAGGGCCCTGCTTACCAGTTTTACCAACACTCGCCTTACCAGAGGAATGAGTCAACACCCGATCATCAATATACCTAGAAAAACTATAAGAGAAAACATGGCAGACATAAACACACCCTTCCATTGCCCAAAGACAGACGTGATCCAGTCTCCCAGCCCCGTGTTCACGCCTGATTGCTCATGCATGGTTCTAGATAACGTTTTCAGATTCTCAAGCGCCCAAGTGACCGTTCCGTCCGGAGCAGTATTGTTGGGAATAAAGGTGCAGCACATGTCACCAAACATTGCACATACTCCACCCTTCTCAGCCAACAACATGTCCAGAGCCATTCGATTTTGGACTCCCATTAAAGACGTCGGACCTAATTGTTCCGCAAGGCCTTCCACTGCGTCCCTAGTGAGATTAGAGAGTCTCAGCACATTATAATGGACATAGTTAATGCGATCAACATTTTTATTTGGAGTTATCCATAAAAACACACTTTCAAAGCCGGCCGCTATCTGTTTAACTAACTTATACTCATCTGGAACTCCCCTGGGAACTCCTATTGAGTCAATCCAGGTTGGCGAGTCCCATCCTGGGTCATATTTGTGCGTACCCCTTGTATCTCTCCTACGTCTGGCTGTCAACACACCAGTGTCCTGCTGTGGAACTGTTTCTACTCTACTTCCTATAAGCATCAACGGTGCACCTAGGCGCACCAGAGCACATGTTCCCACACTCCCCAGGGGAACCTGCACCAAAAGGGTGTACTGCCCACAATAATAATATAGCCCACCTCTTGCCCAGGTGCCTATAATTGTGTTTGGGTCACTTACATTATTGGTAGTCCTGCCTGGGATCGTCCTCTGACACCAGCTCGGATCAATCCTTCCTACCGTATATTTCACGCTGTCTGTAGAGAACTCAAAACATGTATAATTAGCTCGTTTAGATGTGAATGAACCTGGTTGTGTACGTTTATCAATTGGCGGATATAAGCCTGACAAAGTGGTGCAGTTACCTGTGTTCACCGCCTCTCTAGTTAATCTCAACATACAATTATAACCCCACTCATCCTCTGGATACAGAGGAGCGGGTTCAGTGAACAGGCGAGGTCTAGCGGTAGCACAAGCAATACAATCAACCACTTCCTGCTCTTTAGCATTTTGAGCCACCCAATCTAACCAAAGATTCCTATCACCGAAACCTGTGGCCTGCTCTATTAACTCTTGAGGTTTTAATCTCGTGTAATCTGTGGCCACAAGCCTTTTCTCTTCTGAGTCCTTGTAAGTAACTGTCTCTAGGGGATCCATTTGCTCCGTGAGATTCATTACAGTGTCGTTCCCTATCGGTTTAGATCTTGGATTGAATAAGTTCACCCAAATTACCCCTGCTGGATCTGTCCCTGCTTTATCTACCCCTATTACTAAATAGAACGCACCCCCGTCATACCCCGCTTCAGGGAGTTTGCTCCATGGTCCTAGGGAAAGACTGACAGGGTTATTTGTAACAGAATAATCTTTCTGAATGGCTATCCCTTCAAGGGCCTGTGGCACTGTCGGTTGCCATCCTACTCCTGTCCACGCAACCACATCCTGCCAAGAACACCACTGATCCGTTATATAAGTGTAAATGTCTCCTTCCATTGATGGACCCCACACCAACTGAGGGTAACATACCATAGGATGATAACAAACCCACACATCATACGTTCTCCAGCTGCTACCGTCTCCTGGGCATTTAATTACCTCACACAAATCGAATGTGAACGCCGTCGTAGACCCATTAACATACCCAAACTCGACTCCCCCACTGGCTTTGAGACACCCATCGTTCCCACCTGAGCCAACCTCGCACTTGAATTTCCTCGACGACTCGATCGGTTTGGACTCTGGAGCGGATAGACCTCTGCGTCTGGGCAATTCACCTGTCTGCCAATAAACAAACAAACACGTTATAACACTTATCAACCCCAACATCCCCGTTATTTTCCAATTTTCCCACAGTTTCATGATCACTGTTCCCAGGCTCTTTTACTTTTACTTTAAACTTCGTGATAAGAGTATAAAGTTATGAGTATAAAAGTATGCGATTAACGTACAAAACTATTACGATTCCTTTAAACTATCAAATACTTTAGACTAGAGCCCTAGCCTATTAGGAGCCTGGAATGAATTAATGCTTGGCGTGTGACGCTCCTCTTCTTTCTTCGTCTCCCCAGGTAGACTGCTGGGGAGAACCGCGGCACAGGGGGAGATGATTATTCTGCCTCTATGTTCCCCCCTATGTTACTTGGGGTGGAGCTTATCTCGAGTAAGCTCTCATCGGCCACGGCACATTGAGACCAATGGAACCAGGTCTCACCCTTTCCCTTCAGCCGAACCGCACTGGTAGTGCGAGCCGTCACCTCGAATGGCCCCGTCCACCTCGGATCTCTCCACTTTCGCTTAATGACCTTCATCCACACCGCCTTGGCGTCGGGGACGGACCTGTCCTCCGCATTCACCCCCTCTCCAACCTGTTGTGTAAAACTAGACACAAGAGCTTTTAATTCTTTCCAACATTCAGCATGCTTTCTGTTGCTTTTTATACTTTCTTCCGCCGGGACTGTTGTCCAAGGACCTGGAAACTGTCGTCCTGTCAACAGCTCATATGGTGTGAAACCTGTGGATTGATTAACACAACATCTTATTATCATCAATGCAATTGGCAGGGCTGCAACCCAATTTAGCCCAGTCTGAGCAGAAATTTTAGCAATTTTATTCTTCAGGTTTAGATTCATTCATTCTACTTTCCCCTGTGACTGGGGGTGATATACAGTGCCAAATCTGTGTTGCAACCCCAGCTTCTGTTCTACCTCTGCCAAATCTTTGTTTTTGAAATGAGTCCCATTGTCTGACCTAATTCTCTTAGGAAAACCATGCCACCAGGATGTAATGATTGATTAAACACTTAATCACACTTTTTGCATCCTCCCTCTTTGTTGGCCACGCTTCGGGCCATCCCGTCAGAGCATCTACACTTACCAGTAGATATCGAACTTCTCCTGGCCCTGGATCAATCATGTCAGTGAAGTCGATCACAATCTCTTCACCTGGTCTCTCTGGGATGGGAAATTTTCCTGCCTCTGGCTTAATTACTGGCTTTGGATTGTGCCTCCCACAGATCAGACACGTCCTGGCTTTCTCCTTGATCATATCCTTCAAAAAGGGATGCCACCAATGGCACAGATGTCTCCCCATCTGGGCCACACCTACATGGCCAAGCCCATGCGTTTCGGCAATCTTCTGTTTTTCCAGGTTGGCCGTCAACACTGGTCGTCCGTCAGGTCCTCGCCAGAGACCTCCTTCTTCCCAGGCTCGACTCTTCCAGACCCCCTTCTCTTCCGGGGCCGCCTCCTCTTGGGCCTTCCTGGCCTCCTCTAGCATGTTGACTCCTACTTCTTCCTCCACGGTTATTTGCACCATCTGCCTCGATGCTCCATATCCTGCAGCCTCCTTGGCCACTCGATCAGCTTCCTGATTTCCCCTAGCCACCATACCGGTCCCTGAGGAGTGACCTTTGCATTTTATGATGCTCACCTCCTCTGGATCTCCCAAGGCCTGCTCAAGTTCCTCCATTTCCTTCTTGTGGCAGATTGGTGCATTATCTGCTGTCCTGAATCCTGCTCTTCTCCATTGGGCCAGCTCCACGTGAGCTGCTCCAAAGGCATAAGCTGAGTCCGTGTAAATGTTGACTCTTTTTCCTTTTGCAAGTCTCAGAGCTCGACTTAGAGCAATTACTTCTGCTCTTTGGGCTGACTGCTGCCCTTCAAGTCTTCCAGCCTCCTTCACTTCAAATTCAGCCCCTTTTCTGCAAACTACCGCGTAGCCTGCTTTCAATCCTTCCTCATCTCTGTAGCAGCATCCATCCGTGAACCAATCTTCAACTCCCAGTACAGGTTCCGCTTTCAATTCTTCTCTTTTCTTCTCGTCGACTTCAGCTCTCTTTGCACAGTCGTGCGGCTCTCCTGACCCCATTAAATCTGCCATATTGATTCCTTCATGTGTGAAGGTCAAGTTGGGAGCGTCTAAAACTTTACACACTCTCTGTTGTGTGAGTGGTGTCATGGTGAAGGCTTGTGAGTTAACATATGCCACCACACTGTGGGTGGTCAGCACCTTCAACGGATGGTCCCTCACTATATGTGCTGTCTTTTGTATAATCTTTGACACCCCAATGGCATGCTGTGTGCATCCCGGGTGCCTTGTCTCTAATGGATTCAGTCTGACGCTGACGTACATAAGTACATCTCTCCCTCCCCCTTTTTTCTGAAACAACACCCCATTAACTATCCCGTGTGTTTCTGAAACATCAAGATAGAAGGGTTCATCATAATTAGGGATGGCAAGATCAGCCGATCTTGACAAGTCCTGTTTCAATGCGATAAACGCCGACTCAGTGGCCGATGTCCATGGCAGTTCAGCCTTCAGGTTACGGACACCCACCGTTTTCACCAGATCCCTCAAAAGGGCTGTTTTCCCTGCATAATTTGGAATGAAGTGACAGCTGTATCCTGTTAAACCTAAGAATGAGAACAACTCCTTAACCGTACGCGGTTTTGGATGTGTCAAAATCTGATCGCGATGGGTGTTTAGCAAACCCACTGATTTGTGAGCAATGACACGGCCCAGAAATGTTACTTCTGGTCGGACCAACTGCAACTTTTCTTTACTGACTTTGAACCCGCACTCAGCGAGTCTCTTCAGTATGGTAAGTGAGGCTGCCGTACAGGCCGAAGCAGACGGAGCCGCAATGAGCAAATCATCAACATATTGCACCAGTGAACACCCCTCTGGTAGGTGGCATAGCGATAGAGCTTCTTTCAACACTTGGTTGAAAATGCCCGGGGAGAGTGCAAACCCTTGTGGCAACCGTGTGTATCTGTACTGTTGCCCCGGATCACCCTGTGGCTGCGCCACCAGCATCTTCTTAGCTCCATCTTTGTTTTCCTTTTTCTTTTCGTTTAGTTTTCCTCTCACCTCAGCCAATTTCAATTTTACTAACTGCCCTTGCGCCTCCTCCAGCTCCTGTTTTTTCTTGTTCACCTCGTCTCTTTCCAGCTCAAGTCGATGTATTATATGCCTCTCTCATTTTGCTGAATCCGCCACCGCAAAGTCTGGATTCTTCTGTAGATCTGCTCTCACTCGTTCTGGCAGACCTGCTAACACCGCACATCGGAACCACGCCTGGGGTTCCCCATCCTGCCCAGGATGCTCTCCAGTTTGGAGAATCCACTGTTCTTTTGCGTGCTCTATAAACTCTCTAGGGGAATGTTCTGGGCTCCAGACAATCCTAGGTGTAGTGCCAATATTATGGGTCGGATACTTCTCATGCATTGCATCAGAGAGAGCATTTCGCACCCTTGCATAGGGGACATCGTTTGGTTGGCATGCAGTTCTTGCTATCTCTTCCACATCTGCGAGGCCTCCACCTCTGAATGTCCTCCCACCGATAGCACGAAAATCTCCCAGGGCAAGTTCTTCTCCTTCCGTAAGACTTCCTAGTCTTCTCAACCAAGCCGCTCCTCCCTCTGTGATCGGGGGCAGCTGCTTCACCAGAGCTTCAAGATCTCTGATATTATAGGGGTGGTAGACTGGTTCGCCCTGTAAACTCGTCAGTAAAGGCATAGTGAGGGGCAATTCCTCCTCTATGTCACACTGCCCTTCTCCGGTTTGCAATGCAGCGTTCTGCTTCCGATTCTTTTCAAAGATCGACAGTCTTTTGTCTCTTACTTCATCCAGAACCCTCCCAGAGCGAAGCGTCTTCATTCCTGGGAGACCCTGAAACTTTGGGGCGAGTCCTCCCATTTCCAGGTTCGACACTTCTCTAGATTTTTGTGATTTACTTACTGAGGCCGCCAAGTCCTTTTCCAATGCATCAAGCGTTTGTGCTAATATCCGTGGTGTTGCTACGCCTTCTTCCTCCAGTCTTTTCAAGGTCCGTTCCAACTTTATCACGGCCTCCCGGTTGTCAGATACTTTCCCAACAACATGGTCCTGCCACTGTTCTTTCTCAAGGTTGTCAACCTTCGACCTCTGACTGGTTTTTTGGCTCACCTTTAATGGCTGCCTCTGAAACTGCAGTGAAGGTGAATCTTCCTCTGAAGTCCAGACCTCCTGGGATGCATTTTCCTGGCTGGGCTGTTGCGGTGTCACCTGACCTGTACTCGTGGAAGCCACAGGTTGAGCTTCTTCTGTAGCTCCATCTGGGCTGAAAAGAGAGGGAGGGATCAAGATCACCCCCCGTGTAGTGATTCCTTGTGACGTCCCAGCAGCTGGGTGGGGCTGACTCCCCACTGATGCAGCTGCCGCTGATTGAGGCTGCATCACTTTTTGTGTAGGTGCCACTGATTGAGGCTGCACCACTCTTGTGTCTGCCTCCTCTGTGCTCCGAGCAGATGTCGATGGTATAAGATTCTCCTGTACATCCACAATTCCTCCTTTAACTGTTCCTGTTTTTCCTCCCGGCCCCCACAGGGTGCCACCCTCCAAAGTCACCACTGGACAGATATAAGGAGGGGGTGGGGCACTCAGGAATTCCTTCAGGCTGGGATATAATGTTCCCTCAGCCTCGGCTTCCTTTGTTAGGACTGGTTTGGTGTCGTTCACTTGCTCTTGCATCCAGTGAGAAACGCCTTGGGAGACAATCATAAGCTTGCAATACTTATTTTGTTTTTCAATCATGAGCTTCTTTTCGGCCTTCAATTTTCTCCCCTGAAAACGTCCCAAGTGTTCCTCTTCAAGCTCTTTGATCCTCTTCTCACATTTCTCACCTTGAACTTGGAAGATGGAATGAAGAGGGATTCTGTCCTCCAACGTCTTCTGTTGATTTTCACATAATTCCTTCACTTCTCTTTCCAGATCTTGACACTGGCGGGCAATCTCCTTTGAAGTCCCCTCAGCAGTAATTTTAATTGCTTTCTTCAATTGCTGTATTTGCTCCTTCAGTGGCTTGTATCTCTTTCCCTCATCAGGAGTCGCCTTTTCCTTTTCAGCCATTTTGCTTTTTGACCTCACTTACCTTACCAAAATGGCCGCTCTTAGGCTCCTCCCTTTGGGGTTGCCTCACTGTAGTTCCCCTTTCGGCAGTCAGAATCCCACAAGCTGGTCAAGCTTAACTTCCGCTAGGCTCTAGCCGGGGAGAGACCGCCCACAGACACACATACACACACACACAGTCTCTAATCCTCCTTTCAAGACAAAACTTCACAAACGTCTACTGCAACAGTTTAAGCACCCAAAGCCAGCGAAAATTCACTCTCACATTCACTTCCATAACAACTACAAAGTTTTCACACATGAAAATAATCCAATCAATCTACTATGCACGCCGTTTCCCTCCTTATAGCGAGAGACTCAACCGATCTTTAAAAGACTTTATATACACAACATCAAAAATAAAGCACACACCTCTGCCTTCTCCAGGCCGAGGAGGAAATATGACCCAACCAGAAAACCTCCCAGCAATCACACAAAGTACTCAATCTTCGCCAGTATATTTAGCAACACAATCCTATTTTACGGGAGTTTTTCATGAGAGATCATTACACATTAGATCCCATTAAACCATACTCACATTAGGAAATCACAAACACAAGACTACAAGGTTTAGTTTGTTTAATATACTGAAATCCTTTAACCACACTTCTGAAACACACCTTCACCTAACCAAAAAGGAAACTGAGAAACAGAGAAGTGGAGAAGTAGGGAGATGGAACAAAGCCAGCAGCTACACACACACACACACCTCGCGTGTGCTCGCGAGTGTGCCCGTTGCAGCACAGGCTGCAGCACAGCCTCCTTTTCCTAAGAAGACGCCTCTCCGGTCATGTTCCACACATCCACACACAGAGCTCCCCACAGAGCCCCCTCTCCTCCTCTCAGAGAGAGAAAAGAAAGAGTTTTCCTTTTTTCACTCTGCAACCACACAGGAGAAATTAAACAGACAGTTTATACAACTAATTTACACTTTATTTACACACACACACGGGCCCATATAAACGCATGAAAACACCATATGCCAGAACAGCTTTTTTCGACTAATTTAAAAGCATCTTTCAGCCCAGGGCCGCACCTTGCTGATCAATTAAACCCGCTTCGAGGACGCCCCCGCCGAGAGCGGTCAGATTCCTAAGCCCTACTTAATTTATAACTGCTTCCCGCCAGGCAACAAGGACCTCCACCAGCCGCATGAAATATCACAGTTCACGCTTTTGGCTTTACTTAAAGTTCACAAGTCCCTGACGTTAAATAGTTGCAGCCGGGTCGCACCCTGTCAATCAAAACAGCGCAGTAAGGAAAGTGATCCCCTTGATCACTTTAGTTTTTAAGGGGGGCTCGAAATCCCCCGGGTACCACCCGAGCTTTTAACCTGACCGTGCATCCATGATCAGGGGTCGCCGCTACGCGCTGAGCAACTGTGCTCTTAGGGGCCACGCCCCAGTCCTAAGACAATTGATTCAAGTGTATTATAAGCATCGGTGCGGGCTCTTAGCCCGCGGTTATTTGCAACAACAATCTTCTTCGAGCAGACCGCTCCCCATCCTTATATTACCCTGATGACGTCACACAGTTAGATCTTACTGGAAATGATAACAGTTCCCCACACTCACAAAGTTCTCCTTATATAGACATCAGATGCTACTTTAGAGACAAACAAGTGTGTGATATGTTGTGCAGTTTTGTGAGACTGTGTGTCCAACCGAGAGGCTGTCCTAAGACGACCTCCCTGTTCTTAATAAGTGTGTGTGTGAACGTGCGTGTTTTACATGACTCTCTATGTGCATGTTGGTGTAGACCTGAATATGTGTGTAAGTGAATGTAGAAGGCCCTGCTGGACCCACAGCTTCGAGAGGTGTGAATACAATGATGTGGATACCATTTGCAACAGCTTAAGCAGATAGAAAGAATGATACAGAACAACAATGGACTGATTAAAGTGATGATAATATGCATACATTAATATTTGCTCAGATAACCATAGATGTAATTCAGAGATTATTCTGTCAACAGATTCGACAATGATGAATGATTGATCAATGATAGTTCTGATTATAAACTGTCACCATAAGAATACAAAATAAAATATCTCTTGTCCACAGTACCCATTGAGGTTACGGATAACATATGGAGATAAAGACAAAGACTTCCAAGGCCCCGCAAAGAACATGGAATATGTGCAAAAGACACTTCCCCCCACAGCTGAGCCTTAACAGAGAAAGTGAACCATTCCAGGGACCACATAACCCTGGGTGTATTTCATTGAGGCTATCATCTCAAGGAGGTGACAGAATGCCTAATATGCCTAATGTAATTTCTCACTTGTTGTCTAATACGACCAAAGTCTCCCCAGCAGTAGTTTTGGGGTATGGGTGGGCGACTCCTCTTCTCTCACTAAGCCCCGACTATTGCTCCCACTCATGCTTTGTTATAACCAAGTCTCACAGCCCCTTTACACCCTCATCGCCCTCTGGAGCAGAGCAGAATCTCATTAATTTAAAATTAGCAAAACAACTGGCCCTGCCCCTGTAACCTCTTGACCCTACCATTCCTTCCAGGCCTTTAAATAATCAAGTGTTTGCCATGGTCATGCATGCTCAGACTGAACCTGTCCATTTAGTTGCCTCCAGGAATCATTAGGAAACCATCACATTCTACACCTTCACTTCTCCTGACACACCTTTGATTCTTGGCTTCCCATGGTTGGAAAAACACCCCTCACATAGCCAGATAGAACAAACTCAAGGACTTAATATTATTGTCGGTCCAGTCTAACCCTCACTCATATTCCTCAGCTCTCACCTCCTCCTGATATCAAGATTTACAGGAAGTATTTAGTAAAGATAAAGCAGCAACACAGTGGAACTCTCTGGTGATGCCACAATTCTGGGTCTTCTGACCCAGCATTTTGAGTTTTAGTTTATTTTTATGTTTAAGTCCTTTATGATTTCTAAGTTCA